TTTTWWAAGCATTTTCTAGTTCTAGTGTCTTTATTTCTATTAGGGAAAATCTTAATGCCACTGCCAAAGGTGTAAGCTTTTTTTTTGCAAGTAAAATGATACATTAAAGGTATCATGATCAACATCTGGACCTGTCGCCTGCTATCTGGCCTTGGGCAGATCCCCTAAGCTGTGCAGCTCACATGCTTTGTGTAGGTAGGGAGTTAAATAATTTCTGTCTTCTAYTCTTTTTCTCTTTGTTATTTTACTCCTTTCTATGAGAAGGAAAGCTCAGATTTATCTTACCTATTTTTCYGCAATTCAGACTTCTGAACTATTTATGTACAACCTGAGTAGAAAATCACTTCCAGAGGGCAAGTGGCTGACAAATGTCTGTTGCATCCTACATAGTGTCCCATGGTTTATAGGAGAAGCATCAAGTGATTTTGATCCTAAATTAGACTTCTCAGGTAAATGTCTTAAGTTAGATCAGCTGAATCCAGGCTGCACTGTCTTTCATTTATAAACACTACTTATCACAAGGGTCTTGATACAGGGGCTGCAAATAAAATATGAATACTGACAAAAAATAATAATAATGCTTGTATCCAGTAAATTACAAAGCTGGTGACAAATGTGCATGTTTTTCCCTTTTTTTAATAGCATCTGAACAAAGACTATAGTACAGGTTCTTTTACTATCGGGCCCTAATCTTTAAAGTACATCAAAGTTATTTAAGCAAAGCCTAAAATGTCAACTTGACTGGAATCAAAGTCAAATAGACTCAGCCAAAGGTTATTGTCCACTTGYGTTTCTAAAATTCTCTGTTCTAGGAACCGGAAAGGAAAATTATTGGGAAGGCTTCCCCAGGTGACAACAGTGTGTCAACTCTTTCCTGATTTTTTTAGGACTGTAAATCYTATCTTTTACAAATGAGGTTTTCAAAGTTCAAAGAACTGCTCTTCAAAATTCTGTGAAGTCAGGTCACCTTATCAGCGCTCTCCTGTTTGAACCACTCTTACATGGTTTACTGTAAAGGCTGAACATGCAGGTTCAGAGCACTTGATTTATTTCTCTGTCCCTGCCTGCCCTGGGCTTGCAGGACTGTACAACAAAAAAGGATGATGGCAGTGCTCTTTTCCAGAAAATGTACTTTTGAAAGTGTCCCTGTTAGGAAAATATTCTCTTGCAAATATTTACTCCACTTTTGACCAAAACCTAAAAACAAAGGTTCCAACTGTGCAGGCTGAACTGGCCAGAGGACACCCTGAGTTATCAGCAYGTGTGTATTTCTGGGAGACAGGATATTGCAATGATTTACCTCTGATTTCTGGCRAAGTGGGAACATTTTCACCTCAAAATTTGGCTTGAAAATTCAGTTTCTTTCCTTGTCTTCAGAAATAGATGATTTTCCTTTCTGTTTACTTAAGGTCTGTGCAGCTCCTTCTTGAACTACAGAAAACAAGCACAGCTCCAGTCTCATCCCAGACTGTCTCCCAGTGGTGGATGACAAACCATATTGGATCATCACCTGCGGCACAGATCTCCCCATCCTGCAGGCGTTTACATCTTGGAGGTCACAAATCCCACATCCCATATGTGAACATACATAAGAACATAAGAAAAACACATACATACATAAGAAATCTTAGCCAAGGCAA